ATGGAGAAAATTAGAAGTGCGCACCACTGAATTCCGACCTATTGGCTCAAAGGCAACGTGCTGGCTGCGGAACCTGAAGGTCCTGGTTTTGATCTCTGATGGCACGACTGAGGTCATGGATTTCAACTGCTGAGGAGTGCTGTATTAGAACGGGACAGCTGTCCAGTGCTTTCAGGTTTAAAATTTTTCCCCCAACTGATGTTAGATCATGATGAATGACAACGTTAAAGGAATTTACTGAATACACATTTGGGTTTAGACGGGAAACAGACAAGGGATTATCAAATTAAATGTAATTGTGTAATAAAGGATAAATCTGTGGAGCATTAGTTGCCTAATACAGGCTGAATCTATTACATTCAGGATTACTAATGGCCAAGGTAAAGATGAAGGTTAGAAGTACCTTATTTTGGACACATAACGAAGAATTGAACTTCTGTACGGCTAGTGCTACAGCTATAACCGAATGCTTTGATCTAACTCCCTCTGATTGGTTTTATCGAACACTGTAGACGATTTTGAATGAATTCTTGAAAGGTGTTAAGTGGCCTGAGTTGGTGAGATGTTCTGTTATTGAACTGAAGAGACATTTTCTTTCCCCCTTTGCCAGCCAGGCTGGTTTGTGTTCGTGGACACGTTTTACAAGTGGATGCATGATACGGCTGATGTATTCGGCTACAAAAGAGCAAGTTAACTGGTATATATATACCTAGTGATGTGCCCCATTGCATCAGCTTGTTTTTCACACATTGACCAAAACGTTTCTTGTAGGATAAAATGATGGGAAGGTTGGTGGAGTAGTATGTTCTGCCCACTGTAACGAATATTCACGAATGACTTCGTCAAAAAGTTTTTTTGTCTTTTCCTATGATCAAACGGTGTATTCTACTGTTTAAAGAGCGATATAAATTACTCTTTCAAAGATAATTTTAATCAATTTTATACTGAAATTACACTAATAATCAACTTTTGAACTCTTCATTCGAGTTCTGTCCTTATACAAGTGTTCAGATTCAAAGTGTTTGAATTATTTAAGGGTCAGTTAAATTGTGAGTGCTTAGAGAATGTTTCTCAGATCACTTCTATACAAGTAATTAGTCATACTGACAGTGCATCTTACGGCGAAACGTGTAAATCACTATCAACAACTACGATGTATCAAACTAATTTGTTTATGTCCAGTCGAGTTTACATTGGAGCGAAATGTTGATCCTAATAAGAAGTAAGCGTGTTTCTATGATTGACAATGAAATATGCAGAAACCATTTCTTCATCTAGCCAAGCATCCTGAAATTAATAGCACATAACATAAAGTAGTTTGTCTTCTTTGTACAACAAAAACATAGGTCAGGAACACTTCAAACTGTACTACTGAAGAATGAAGTAGTTCGGTTATCTGTTTCCGTTCACTCACTTCAAAACATCATTAACGATTTAATATTAAGACGTATTTCTTGTTTTCGATTGACTTGAAACAAATTGACCGATGTCTGTTGGTGTGTAAGCTGAGTAGAAACATCATCACTCCCTGAGATGCAATTACATCCATCTAATGAGTCCTAAGCTGAGACAAGATGTACTTTCTACAATACACTGCTAGCTATTATTCACATCTAGTATCAACCAATGACATTTCTCTAACTCTCCGGCTGTTCCGTAGTAAATATGAAATACTCAGATGTCTTCTTTAGCTGCCTAATTTGGAAAATAAAAGAGTTTCCGTCAATGTAACCAATAGAAGACAAGCGTTCAATGAGACAATAAGCCATTGGCTAATCAGTTTATAAAACAGTACAAAATTATGTTATTTCAGTTCGAAATTCCTTTGGAACATTAAATAGAGAACAGTTGTTCGATGTTATTTAGTTAGGTCTCCTAATAAGCGGTAGATGCATCCTTCAGGAATAAAAATATCCTTAGAGCAGAATTCCTGCGTTAAACGATACAATATATGAAGAATCATGAGGAAAATATGAGTAAAATATCAATAAAATGTTACTTAGATTCATGATGTAACTATGATTAGTGTAATCTAAGTGAAAGCATATTCAACAACTTTCCTGATTTTACTTTTGAAGTGTAGAGCAACCATTTTCGAGTAGTACTTTTCCAATTACTTCACATCTACCAAACAGTTTTTCCTCATTCCTAATAGGGATACCTTACTATTCAAACATCAGCACATAATCCACAGAACAGATCATTAAAAGTCAATAGATGGCTCTGGGAGCATCAATGGGTTTTAAAACAATACTCATTCTTCTGTGCAAGAACATGTCACAATATGTTTTGATAACTTTTTCTTCAAGTCATACAGTTATTTGCGTACATTGAGGAATTATACGTTGACGGTATTGAGATTTCACTTATTAGTTTGTTAACAGTAATACCTATACAGTTGAGTTAGTCAATTCATAGAACTGTCGGGGTCAGAAAATTACAAAATGGGTCCTCCACACGCCAAGTGGTGACATCGAGATAGAAAGATGAATTATCTAGACTCTCCACTTCCTTCCCATTGCATTTATCAGTTCAAAAACTCCTGTGGGGAAAGTTAACTTGCACACTGCTCTAACAACTGAATTCCCCGTACTCATCAACACCTTTCAGCATTATCAAGTAAAAATGTAGTAAAGATGATTGCCACCTTCATGCTAGCATACCTGGCTAAAACGAACAATAAGGTGGATAGGAATGAGTCATTTTCCATTCTGTACCCAGTTCCCATCAACTTGACACAAAGCACCCGGCTTAACATCTTTCGAACTGCACAAGCAATAACAGTCAGGCTCAAACAACATCAGTCATGTCTTCAAAGAAAGCATGTACTGCCTCTACAATTACCGTAGCCTGCCTGATACACAACCCACAAATTATTTAGCCTGTGCCTCAGATAATCTAATTCCATACTGTAGATACTCATTCTTCACTATCATCTAAAGAAATCTAAACTAATTCTCTTTTCCTACATAGTTTATTCCATCCAGCTGTGGTGAATACTTTCCTATTCTTTCATTAAACTATCACCTCATAGCAATGCTTACCTACTTCGTACGATCGTTTAGACAGTTAATTACTTTGAACTGAATTCAGGTGATAATTGATTCTATTGTTAACGGTCACAAAAAGCTTTTCTAAATTGACCTGCTGAACTATACAACCTCATTACCAGACTGATAAGCTGAATGTTTATATTGCTGATGCATAATTCTTCAATATGTACATAAAAGTGTAGGACCTGTAGAAGAATTTGTTGGAAAGAATAACTTTTGTTAAATCAAATAACTTTTGGACCATAGTGAGATCTTTTGATACACAGAAAATGTTTGATAAGTTCGCTCTCAAAATAAGCTCCAAGAATTCTTTTAATGTAATCTTACTCCTAACAGGTGAACAGTGCCAGCATCAGGTCATCAAGTTTTAGACTGCAAGCTTGTTAGTTGAACCAAATCACTTCAGAAACGAAATGTGGATTAGAGGAGACACTAATCCGAACACTTTCACCAATAATTCCAGCTAAACATTCGGGAGAGATAGAGTACGTAAAGTTATAAGAATAAGAATAAAATTCACTTAGTCAATTAGTTAGTTACGTTTTTGGAAGATTACCGAGGCTTAAAGCGGAAAGACCGCATACCGCTGACAAGTGAAATGAACAGTCAAGTTTATCAAGACTGCAGATGGCTATACTACGTCATAGCCTGTTGTAAAATGCTTTTCAAACTAATTCAAACGATGGAAGTATGAGAATCGAGAGAACATCCATCAGGATGACTGTCGGACAGAAGTTAGCTTCTATGTTAGTGTTCCAAGTATGATTGGAACTCAGCACTTATATCGAGGAATGTCATAGCTGATTTATGCATTACCTATTCCGTAACAAACTCAGGTAATACGGGAACTTGAGGACTATTCATGTGGGCTCTTGCAATAGGGGATGAACTAGACATTCTTCTTGGGCTGATAATACTACTGGGTATTTTGAGATCTCATTTGCGGTAGACACTTTTATTCTGAAGTGATTTAACTGTTATGCTAACTTGAAGATTCTCATTTTCCACTTGAGGAATGGAATGGGTCAACCTAACTCTGGTAAGAGCCACGCCTAATCCATAGGCTTTTATGATACTGGTACTTTACTTATGTTGAAATAAGGGATGTGGGATCTCAGACTTGAACTGATTATATGAGAGTGAAGTGCTTAAACTAATGTGACATTTCTCCACGTTAATCAGAATGTAACGTACAGGAATGTCAAACTACAGGTGAATTTAGAAACTTGGCCTTCTGTCCAATCATCTGGTGCCTCGTTTTTTTCCTGTTGTAAGGCCAAATGATGGGGTTAGTGTGGTTCTACTCATTAAGTGCTGGTATCAAGACTTGTTTGGAAGCTGTTGAAATATATTGAAAACTACGAACCAGCAGAAGTTATGATAAGATAAGAGCAGGCATATATGGTTTTTCAGAATTGGGTCCAGTTTCGTGACTGTTGTTGCTTTCCCTTTTGTGTATATCTCACTTACATCACATTTCTCCAATTCAAATACCGTTTACTAATCTCTGTAGCAAGGTATAATAGTGCTTTGCTGACGAGTCACAGTACTGAAGGATTGGTGTTCTCTGACCGTTGATATGTTGTTGTGAATGTTTCATCACCAGATTTGCTGACATCCTCAGCAGCAACTTCATGAAGAAGGCTTCTTTCCGTCGTGAAGCCTGTTCATGAAATGGCCACGGAAAAATATCAAATCTTGGAGAACTTCAAACCACCATCTTTCTTAATCTGAGCTACAAATCTTTTCCATCATTACGAGTTAAAGTTAGGAATACATTGACTTCAATCATCACATTATTGTAATGTATATCCCTAACTCAAATATCTTCCGTTGTTATTTACCTTTTACAGGTAGAAAAATTTCGCTGTCTCTCTGACCGGAAAACAATGTCAGTGGAAGTGGAATAGAAAACGAACACAACTTGCAATTATCATCTGGTATATCATGCACTTATCGGGTTGGATTGACTTCTGCCAACATATATACACATCATCTGTTTTAGCAGTCCTTCTGACAGTTCACGTTGACAAATCCATACACATAGATGCTCAACCATCACGTGTAATTCGAATTAAAGAGAATATACCAGCTGGAACAGTTATCATTCCAGATGTGATCAATTTTTTAGGCGGTAGAAGTTATTCCTCAGTGGATAATTATGATCTGCAGAAAGATAGAAAAGTTGATCATTTACTTGCAATAGGCAATTCAGTTATGCAGGGCGCTAACTGGTTTGCAATTGATGACGTAAAAAAGAGTTTGTATATTAAAACACCACCTGACAGAGATATTCTTTGTCCAAGTGAACAAAAATTGCCAGAAACAGCTGTTTCTATAGCTCATGGTGGTATAGAGTTCCCAGAGTATAATCTTAACCCAGGATCAAAGTACAACCTACAGATTGCTAGCAACAATGTGGATAATAATGACTGTATCATAAAGCTGTCAATAATACATGGATCATCTGCCAACCCTTCATTTGATATGCTTACAGTAATCTTGGAGGATATCAATGATCATGCACCAAGTTTTAAGGAAATTCAAAATAATATGGACAGTAAAACAAATGAATTCATAATTAGTGTACCAGAAACACCTAGACTGATTGATAAGAAAGATGATGGAAGTATTAAGCATAGGATAGAGCAAAGACCAGTGAGAATTCTACTACCAACTGCTATAGATCCTGATGAGGGGGTAAACGGTGTTAAGGGATATCGATTAGAAGGTGAGGATGCCTTTCTTTTCCGACTTGAAATAGGCCCAGCAATAGATACTGATATCAGTCATCGAGTTCACAAAGAATTTCATCAAGTTGGTTTATTTCAAGATCATAAAACCAATCGATTATGGCTAGTGCCTACCGGCAACAGTATCGGAGGGGGAGGAGGTACTGATGCTTTAAATATTGGTGAATTGGATAAAGAACAACGTAGTGAATATCACTTTGTCCTAATTGCTTATGATGGTGGTTCACCTTCAAGAATGGGAAAACTTCCGATCGGACTGATTGTTGAAGATGTTAACGATCATGCACCTGAATTCAATCGAGAGTTTTACACGGGAAGAATGTCAGAGACTGATCCAGGAGGTCATGTAATCTTTGAATTTTCTGCCAGAGATAAAGATAATACAAAAGAGAACGGTATTGTAAAATTTCGTCTCCCTGGCAAAGCGACCATAGCCAAAGTCAGGGTCATTATGAAAATAATGTAAATGCTGGACAGCGAGAAAGGATCAGTCTTTCTGAGAGTCAGTTGGCTGCTGCGGAACTTTTTTCAATAGAGTATTCTTTTGATAAACCTGGTGATCTGATAAATCTACAAGATAATCTTCAGAACAGTACCACTTACGGTCGGCTAATTGTTAGACGACAGTCGAAAGAAAAAATTCAGATAGCTGCTTCTAAAGCTATTGCAATCGCTCGACAAAATCAAATCTTGGGGGGTTCAAAATCAATCTCAAATTTCCCTGTTCAACAGACACACACCAATGAAATATCTTTAAATAGTGACCAACTTCATTTCGTCATAGAGGCTTACGACAATGCACCAACACCCTTAGTAACAAGAGTACCTGTGATCGTTCTTATTACAGATGTCAATGATCATGCTCCACAGATTTTTATTTCCTATCTTCGACCTACACGTCCACTAACTCAGGTAAAACTATACAATAATGAGAGACGACAAATGTGGGGTAAAGTTACTGAGAACTTGGACAGAGCAATGATAGCACAAGTTACTGTTACAGACAAAGACGCAACTTTCTCAAACTCAGATGTCGTCTGCAGGACAAACGATAGTCGTTTCTCACTTGAAGAGATAGTCAATGGTATAGACCGACCCGAAGATCTCTCCTCTTATTGGAGTAGAAATAATTTTTATGGATCTAGTAATCTTGACTCAAAATCTCATCAGCTGGATTGGCAAGCGACAAGTAAACCACTGACAAAAATGTACAAATTGATGTTGGTGTCTTCATTAGACAGGGAATCCAATGATATAAAGACATCACTTTTAAAATTTTCAATCATTTGTGTAGATAACCAACACAATGAATTGCCTGGCGGTTCACTGACTTCACAAACAGATGTATTCCTTGAAATCGAAGATGCGAATGATAATCCTCCTGTATTTGATCACACTGAGTATACATTCCATTTGCCGGAAAACTATCCTAAAGTCAAATCAGAGCATAATCTAAATCATTTAGAAAATGATCGATACACTATTGGTATGGTACACGCCAGTGACAAAGATGAAGGTGTTCATGGGAATGTTGAATACAAATTGGTTTCTAACCCGACCGGTTCAATACAAATTGATCAATTTAGTGGAGTGCTTTATGCTACTCAACCATTTGATCGTGAAATTATGAATGAAATTGTATTTCAAGTGATCGCAATAGACTGTATACTCCAGAATGGAACCAAGGAGCGACAGTGTGACCCAACTATGCGACTTACAGGATCTGCGAATATTCGTGTCATCATTGATGATCTTAACGACTGCCCGCCAATATTTCAGGAGACTAATTACCACTTTGAAGTTGAAGAAGGATTGGATCTTGTAAAAGTTGGACAAGTTTTTGCAGTTGACGCTGACCAAGATGAAGCAGCACGTATCGTCTATCGACTGGCTGTAGGAATTAATAACCGCTTTAAAGAACCAATAGTTGATGGAAATATAGCAGAACAAGTTGCAAAGACGTCAGCTAATCAGAATCTTTACGATGAGGCCCTTGAGATCACAACTCACTTTCAAATTGATCCACGAAGTGGGCTTATTCACTTAAAGGGAAGATTGGATCGCGAAAGACGAGCTCATTATGAGTTCATTGTGCTGGCACTGGACAACCCTAGGGCTATCCCAACAAAAATAGCCGGATACCACCGACAAACAGGAAGTGAGGTTATCCAGTTTACAGCCACTGCAACTGTTCTAATAACTGTGTTAGATCATAATGACAATCCTCCAAGAATACTCAGTCCTCTGAACCATGTAGAATTCATGTTAAGCCCAGACCAGCTGATCGCAGGAAATACGATATTTACTATTCGTGCGACAGATCCAGACTTAGGTGAGAACGGTACCATTGAATTCAGACTACTTCAAGTAGAAGATGACCTTGGTTCATGGATATCTAGTGACTCTGCTCAAAGAAGTGTACAAACGAATCATGAAAATACCACAGATCCAGATGTACAATTCGATCAAGGTCATAAAGCGCTAGATACCAAGGATTTAAATGATGTTTATCCATTTGCTGTAGACAGAACTGCTGGTATCTGTTATCTGAGAGAGAATTTACCCCACTGAATATTGATGGACCTAGAGCTTATATGCTTCGTATACTAGCCTACGATTTAGGACGACCGGACAGTCTAAACACAACACTGATAGTCCGTGTAGCTCGACAAACAGGTTCCACTGGGGAAATTGGAAATGGGGTTTTATATTCAAACAGAATGATAACAAAAGAATATCGACAAATAGGAAGATTAGAAGCTCATCAGAGTTTATTATCCCCAGTGAACATGAATCTGGACCAGATGCTAAGGCTGGAACATGGACAACATCAGGACAGGCTAGAATATCTGACAGAACAATGGTTGTGATTTTATCAAGTGTGTTTGTGCTACTCCTGTTGACAACTATTGTCCTACTACTCCTTGTTCGCTATAGGCGTTTGCTGATAAGAAATATTCCACTAGAACAAAGTTTCACCTGTGACGGACCTGACTCAAAGGCGAACGAAGGATTTGCAGCAGGTAAGTAGTGTTCTCTTTCCAGGTTGTTTGTAATTCATGCTGGTCAGAATTACCTGGAATATCACAGACTCAATAAGGAAAGGAAATTCGTTCAATAAAAGGTTGAAAATAGATGTCAGGATTTACTTTTCAAGTAGACGTGTACATCATGAAGAGTGCTAGTGACTGAACGAAGTGACCCTGTTATCAACCCATCCACAATGAACTCAGGAAACAACTTAGACATAGACTTTTACGGAATACATGCATTAATCAGTCTACATATTTTAGGCTACTTTTTGTAAAGGTGTAGGGTTACAGTTCGTATTATTTTTAGTGAATTAATTTTCAGGTTTATGTACACTCTAAGTTAGGTTAGTTCTTCAGTTTGAAAGTAAATCCGAAACGTTTGTGTTCATCTCTCCGACAGTAAAGTCCAGTGCAGATTCAATAGTTCTGATGAAATACTGATTCACGAACCGTATACGAGCCGAGCGTCAAGAAATTAATATGACCAACCTACCTAATGAATTAAATCTTGAAATGACTAAATTTGTAAGTGATTTTAGATTGAAATAAACTCAGATAAGAGTAAACCTGAAGATAACTTGGTATTCTTTCAACTTTAACCTTGGCTCATTAAAATGAGCCGTTCATTAATGTAGAGTGATTTTTTGAAAAGGAGATAAACAATCTGTTATCAAAGATCAAATGTTACAGAACAACAAACACTTAACGTTGTCATTGTGAGCCATAAGTCTTAATTGTTGAAAGAGAAGCAGCTCAACTAAGTTAATCCTTTTGTATTCTGTGTGTGGGATGATGTAAACTTTTGTTCAAAAGATAGTTGGTCTGAAAGAGAGGTTAAATATCCATTATACTAATATCTACAACATTACTTGTTGGTTTGGGAAGTATTGCTGGAATGATTTTACTTCACAAAAGTAGATACTACTCAAAACTTCGAAATGATACATAACATTACATACGTGAAGAGATTTGCTAATCATCTACGACGTAAAATACTCAAAGATATTTTTTTGTCAGGTTGCGGGATTCAGTCAGCATGAAGTAGTGCTCTATTTACGTTTCGTACATGTTGGCACTTGTCAGCTAGGCATATCTACAATCTTGTGATAACTAGTATTCCGTTGGTAATACGACCATGCGTTGCTCAGTGGTGAACTTAGATACTCAATCATTAGACTATTTAGGACACGAATGAACTTTTGTAGAGCTGAATTATGTATACGAGTTGTTGACAAGTGGTTAATGAATTTAGCTGTCTAGTGCTTAGTTCATGGTGTATTCATGACAGTCTATTGACAGTCTGACTAGAGAAATGGTTAAGTTTCTTAACTCAGCAATGAGCAGCTGAGGTTGGAATCTTCTAGGGGACACCATTTTCTCTATGGTCTCATATATATCTTGTTGATGAACACATAGAAGCTTGAAGCTCTGTTCAAGTAGAGCCTCGTGTCGAATGACCCACTTCGTCTAATATTAAATGACAACTTACTGCATTGTTATGTAGCTTCGCTTTGTTGCCACATCGCAAAACTTGATCAATAGACTTCAGTTAGTAAGAGTTGTAACTCATTGGTTCCGGGAGATAACTTTCAACCGATGGACCACAGGTTGGAAACCAGCTCCACTTCCTGAGATTTCAACAGCTAGGTAGAAACATCACTAATCCTCACTCAAAACAGGTATATCTCATTGCCTACTGCACGAGTGTCCATGAGGCTACTGAGTGCATTCCACTTCATTATATCTGCTGAGATACAGTTAATACAGTTAGTAATTGTCACTCTGTATAATCCTATATCACATGCGTTGCAATGCTCAGGATGTACTGTTTGAATGTTTTATTCTCACATGATCACAAACTAGAGCACCAGCTTGCGGCTCCATCAATATATAGGGCTAAGTTTTGTGAGATGTAAAAAAGAAGAGTACTTACGTTATTACATAAGGACCTAAGTTCTATTTCTCAGAAATAAATATAGTTTATCAAGTGATGTCCCCTATTATTTGCAATTTTTAGTCCTATTAGGTTCCAAAACCGCTTTGAAGTTGTTCAAAAATAGTTATAAAAGTGCACATTTCAAAAAAGAGTCCTTTAAGTTCACAGATGGTCTGATAAACTTTTACAAGTTTCAGTATTATAGCTTCAAGTGATTATTTGGAATGGTGATGAAATTTAGACTATTGTATAAATTAAATTTTTCACTAAAACTGAATTATTTATTTATTTGTCCCTTGGGTTCCTAGTAGAAAATAAGGCTTCAGTAGCACGTCACCATTTCACTCTTTTCTCTGTGGTTTTATCAACCTCGCTCCACCACTACCCACAAGCTTTCATTTCTTCCTCCACTGGAACACGCCCAACTCATCGTTTCGACAGGAGGGCCGCATGCGTAATGTCACCTAACCGTCTTCATAGTGGTTGTCCAGTCCAGTCCTATCCATCTACATTTTCTTCTTCTGCTTATTTGTTCAGCGGTGGGTTATTGGTTGGTTCGTTGTCACTCAACCGGAGTTCCTTGTTGCTCATTCTTATTATTCTGACCACCTGACCTCATCTTCACTATCGACTGAGCAAACATAGATGACAGCTGTTCATCATGTATGTGTACCCTTTGTTCAAAATACTTTTCTCAAAGCACCGACAAATCCCTCAACCATCACATGCAAGCACTGACTTGACTGACACTAGTGTTGAAAATCCGGATCTTGTTCATGCTTCATGCTGAGTGCAGTCGAGTGGAGTAGATCTCCACACTGATTATTTCAGATTAATGAAGGTGTGTCTTACTGCCTTTCCGATCCTGGCTTTGATGTCTTCATCTGTGCCTGTGTCGCTTGTAGTTGAAAGGATGCTGTTCGGGAAGGTAGGTAGGTGAAAGAGACAACTTCATTTAGATTTATCACGTTCATGGTGCTTCTTGTTGTTCTCTACGTTCACTTGAAGGAAGTGAGGTCATCGCTGTCTCGCCTCTTTTGTCAACTTGTTAGGTTTTGCCTGTGGATCTTCGTGTTTGTGCGACATTAGACATAAATCATCATCATTAGCGAAATCAAAATCTTGTGAGGTCTTTTCATTGGTCTAACAGCGTATGCCCATCTTCTCACGCCTCACAGCTTGTTGCATAATCCGGTCCACTCCAAGCAGGAAGATCATCAGTGATAGTAGATAACCTTGTCTTGCACCTGTCTTTACTTCACTTCAAAGGCATCATTTGGTATGTAGCAGCATAAAGCATATAGCTGCTGTTGAATAAGGTTGACGAACGTCTGCAGCACTGAAAGCATGGTGTTGGAGCTGCTGTCAAATTGCTTCTTGGTCAATGCTATCAAAGGCATGTTCAAAGTCAATAAATTCGAGGTAAAGATCCATTTGACTGCTATTCTATGCTCTGTTTTATGATGGTGTGTGGCGTAGGGTTGCAATTTGATTCGCATATGATTTGTTTTTCTTGAAGTCAGTCAGCCTTTTTCGGTCACAATTTTGAATCCAGAGCATTTCTTAGTGTCTGCAGGATGATGCGGCTGGACTAAAAGTAACTTCCTACTAAGAAGTTATGATTCTTCCAAGTATATAGGTCCGTGAGTGAAAATAAACTGAGACTTCTGTTTCTATAACTCACTGGTAATAAGATTCTGGGCGTACGTACGATGCCATTTGAGAGTAATTATCCAAGATCCGTTATATTTCTATCAATGTCTTCAATAAGACTCTAAGTCACCGCCCATCGTATCAAAAATTGAGGCTTTAACCTCTGCACTACTGATTGAGAGTGTTGAAAACGAAATAAAATCTGAGTCATGTCAAGCAACCTTAGATGGAATAAACTTTCAAGACTGAATTCAAAATTTTTTAACTATTTGGTATCTACTACTTCTAAGCAACATTGAAAAGGGTTTTTTTTCTCTTTGAGTAAAGGTTGATCGATTCATTTGTGAATATCAATCTTGGGGAATATCAGAAACGCCGAAAACAAGTTTACAAACACACACATATTGCCCAACATAGTGACCAATACCAATTAATTTAATGTTAATTCAAGTTAGATTTATATTTGAGACTATCAAACAGGTCGTCCAGATTCGTAATAAGTGGTATGGCAGCCATTGGTGTTAGCCATTAGAATGTTTCCCACTGGAAATGAAACCAGTCCTTATCGTTCACTTGTAACCGCAGAGAGGGATATCTGCACAGGTTGGCATATAATAATAATGACACAATACGTTGCATAATCTTGAATTAAATTGTTATCGAAAACAAAAGTAGATCACTTAATTCTTTTATGACATATTCTCCTTCACATAGGATACAATGCAAATATGGTATTTTAGGGCTGTTATATTTAGTAGTACATGCATAACATCTTACATACTTCCTGCCTGTCTTTCTTGTAAGCCGACACGTAGAGAGCTTTAGGGTGCTGGTCATCTGATAAGATAACTCCTGCCAGATGTTTATAGGAGTTAAGATGTTTGTCCACAGTAGTTTCAATTTGTTGGTTTACAGGTACACCATCAATTCTGCAAAAAATCTTCAAAGTTCTACGCAATACAGTATAGTTATTTTTTTATCAAGACAGGAAAGAATGAAGAGGAACAATACAGGAGAATAGACAAAGTGCGAAAGTTTATAAAAGACAAGAGGAAAGCTGAGTTATAGCAGGTACTCTCAGCTTTTCAACATAGTAGGTTGAGTGGAAGATTCTTTTGGCAATTAGTAACATATCGGATCCAACCAACAACACCAACCGTAACAACAAGCTCCAATCATCATCAAAGGAAGAAACTTAAAGGAAGTAGTCTCCTTCACCTATCTAGGCAGCACTATTTCGACTACAGGCAGCACATGCACAGATGACGACGTCAAAGCAGCCAGGATCGGAAAGACAGAAAGACAGACACTCATTATTCTGAAACTAGTGTGGAGATCTTCTGTACTCAATATGTGGAACAAGATGTGGATTTTCAACACCAATTCAGTCAAGTCAGTGTTT